TACTGGTTTAATCATAGATAACCATGCAATATAGTAAGAAAATTGAATATTTTCCTTTTTTTCCTCTTCCCCTTTCCAGGCTTTGTTTTCTATCTTGTTCATAATCCAAATTGCTCATTAGTAAACAAAATTGACTTGGGGAGGCACTGTGGGCTTGGCAGGGGAGGGTTGATAGCTAAAGAATGAAATTCAGTATTCCCTCAGTTCTTAAAGTAGTCTACAGTAACATGTACTCTGTAGGTATATTATCTGAGTTTGCTTTGCTTTCATATCAACAGTTGCTGGTTTTTTGTGCTTGACATGTCACAATCATTCTGTACAATGGCATATTTGCTTTTGCTTTGTGCAGGTAGCAATGACTCATCCAACAGCTGTAACAAACTGCAATATAGACATGGAGAGCTTGATTTCTGACCAAAACAGGAGCATAGCCACTCTGGCCATAACCACTCTACTAAAAACAGGGAATGAATCCAGTGTTGATCGATTGATGAAACAGATAACAAATTTTATGTCTGACATTGCTGATGAGTTCAAGATTGTTGTGGTAGAGGCCATCAGATCATTGTGTTTAAAGTTCCCCCTCAAGTATAGATCTCTGTGAGTGTTCTATAAGTTACTGCAAAGAACTTGAGAATGACATACTTAGATGTATCTCATCTCTTTGATTCATATCTACCCTTATGATATTCATGCTTCTGCTTTTTGTAAAACATATTTCTTTTGTCCTTTCTCTAGGATGAACTTTTTAAGCAATATTTTGAGGGAAGAAGGTGGATTTGACTACAAAAAGGCAATTGTTGACTCAATCGTGATCCTCATTAGAGATATTCCAGATGCTAAAGAAAGTGGGCTACTACACTTGTGTGAATTCATTGAGGATTGTGAATTTACATATCTTTCTACTCAGGTTGTCCATCTTTCCATTTGTGGTATTAACCCTGTTCTTTGCAATTTCTCCTTGTTCAAGTTAGTATGTATCGTTTGTTGTGCTGACTAGAGTTTTCTTTTTAGATCCTTCACTTTCTTGGAAATGAAGGACCAAAAACCTCGGATCCAAGCAAATATATCCGTTACATATACAATCGGGTAATATTGGAAAATGCAACTGTTCGGGCTGCTGCTGTTAGCACACTGGCAAAGTTTGGTGCTATGGTTGATTCACTGAAGGTAGAAGTGTTTTCTTTTCTCGCAAAGACATTTTCTGTTGTGATTCATTTTATTAACCTGGGTGCAGCATTTGGCTTTTTGTTTCAGCCCCGTATTTTCATTTTGTTGAAGCGCTGCCTCTTTGACAATGATGATGAGGTATGCCGTGTTGTGCTATATTGACTTTGTTTTAGGTAGTGACATTGTAATTTGCCCTAATGAGTTTTATGATATATATTCTTATATATGGAGCCTGCCTTACATATTACTTATTTTGTTCAAGTGTAGCTATTTTTTTTAGGTAGAATTTACAAGTTTTAGCTTATTATACTTAGTTGATTTCAATTGAGTGAAATTGCTCAGTATCAAAAGGTGATGTCTTCTTATTTTTTGATCTTGTCTACTGGAAAAGTTATTCTTTTATCTGGTCAGGATTCATTGTGCTTGTCTTCTCTCATCACTATTTGGCTCCATTGCTTTGTATTTGCTTGTTATTAGTTGCCATAGTGAGGGAACTTTTTGAAATAATGCTTTCATCGACATGTCCCAATTTTTGTATACCTCTAGTCACAAGAGGACTGTAGGTAGAAAGGAGTTATATTTCTTTTCTTTTAGCGTTGTTTGTTTGTTTTGTCTTGTGCACTAATTTATGCTGATTACTCTCTGGAAAGATGTTATTTATTCCACTGTGGTTGCAGGTTCGTGATAGAGCTACACTTTACTTAAATACTCTTGGAGGTGATGGTTCTGTTGTTGAAACCGAAGGTGAAGTGAAGGAGTTCTTGTTTGGCTCATTTGATGTCCCGTTATCCAATATGGAGACAAGTTTGAAGAATTATGTGAGTCTGCTACTAAGTTTCTTTTCTTTTGCTCATGGTTGATGACTATCAGATGTAATTTCCTTGTTATTTCTCTAACAGATCCAGGATCCTTCTGAAGAATCTTTTGATATTAATTCTGTTCCAAAGGAGGTTAAATCTCAGCCTCTTGCAGAGAAAAAAGCCCCAGGTAAAAAACCAACAGGACTGAGTGCTCCTCCTAGTGCTCCCGCTTCTGCAGCTGATGCTTATGAAAAGCTGTTACTCTCCATTCCTGAATTTGCAAGCTTTGGGAAGCTTTTCAAGGTCATAATATGTGATTTGTGTTATATTGACTTGTTTGTTGTGATCAACTAAGATTTTGCTAATCAACTATTTGCAATTTATCTTGTAAAACCAGTCATCAGCACCAGTGGAGCTTACAGAAGCTGAAACTGAATATGCAGTTAATGTTGTCAAGCACATCTTCGATAACCATGTTGTGTTACAGTATAACTGCACCAATACAATCCCTGAGCAATTGTTGGAAAATGTAATATGAAATTGCATAGTTCTTCATGTCTTTTGGTTTAGTTTCGTACTCCTTTTAATTTTTCTGTGCCTTTTGCCAGGTTATTGTAGTTGTGGATGCTTCAGATGCTGAGGAATTTGCTGAAATTGCATCCAAACCTTTAAGGTCGCTCCCATATGATTCACCGGGGCAGATATTTGTTGCATTTGAGAAGCCAGGAGGAGTTCCTGCTGTTGGAAAATTCTCAAACGTGTTGCGTTTTATTGTTAAAGAGGTAGTTTCTTCTCATTAAATCAAAACATGTTTTCTTTGCAATGATTAACATTTGATTCCTATGTTTATTAGGGATGTCCCGGTGTCTAGATTAGCAAGTAGATGTCTTGTAACCGTCTCTTCATGAATGGGAAACTGAATCTCAAGCTTGACATTTTAAAGTGAACTGTTAATTTGTTTGGATGCAAATAAGGAATCTTTATTGTTTTATTTTTGGTGAATATGGCCACAAAAGCTTAAAAACTGTGTTGATGTGATGTTTCCACTTCATCCATCACATTTTCAATCTGGAAAAGCATTACAGGTTTCTTGTTTATTATACTGCAAAGTCATTGGAACGCTCATGTCTCGACTTGAAGTGATCAGCTACTTTTGAATAGACGCAGCAACTTATATATTGCTTGTACCAGTCAGTAGAGTAACTTGTCTACAAATAATATCCATAGAATATCACTTAAGAAATGCTGTTTTGACTGCTCTAGCGCTGAAATTTTATCACAATACTGACAGTCAACTGAGGAGGGCTCCTTTAATCAATTATTCCCTGCTTATCGACTTGGATTGTGCTGCTAGGTTGATCCATCTACCGGTGAGGCAGAAGAAGATGGTGTAGAAGATGAATACCAGCTAGAGGATCTTGAAGTTGTTGCAGCAGATTATATGCTCAAAGTGGGGGTCTCCAATTTCAAAAATGCATGGGAAAGCATGGGTTCAGATTTTGAGCGGCTTGAGGAATATGGTCTTGGCCCAAGGGATAGCCTGACAGAAGCTGTGAATGCAGTCATTAGTCTTCTTGGCATGCAACCCTGTGAGGTGAGTCTTTTTATGGTTGACATTTGTGCAACAGTTAGCAGCTCTCTAATGAAGTAGGGGTGAAGCTTTTTGGGAATGCTATCTATTGCTGTTGCTTTTCTGCAGTCAATTAAGAAGTCCGTGACATATGAATTCTTTCCTTGAAACCAGAAATTGGGAGTATCTTGATGTTGCTATTCTTTTCCAGTCACTCCTCGGTTCTACTTCTTGTCTTTGCAATGTTTATCTCCTTGTTCTTCCTCTGTTTCTGCTAATGATGCCTTTTGGGTTGAGTGGTAGCGTTCACCCTTTGCCTCTTTATTGTAGAGGTTAACAGTGTGGATTAGTTAGGCTATTGAGAACAGCTCTCTTCCATTTGCTTTTTGTAAACCCCAATATGTGGACCTGAAATAGAAAATACAATGGAGTTAGCCTTGATGCTAAGAGATCATGTTTCTTTTTCTGGTTGCAGGGCACTGAAGTTGTAGCAACCAATTCAAGATCACATACATGTTTATTGTCTGGTGTGTTCATCGGCAATGTCAAGGTGCTTGTTCGGTTGTCTTTCGGAATTGATGCGCAGAAAGAAGTTGCGATGAAATTGGTAGTCAGATCCGAGGATGAATCTGTTTGTGTTGCCATACATGAAATTGTTGCAAGCGGCTAGATCGTTAAGTTGACAGGAAATGGTCTACTCATTCATGTTAAATAGGCGAATTGGACTATTCAAATTATTCTTCTGGCTGAGAACTAGACAATGTGCGAACGGAGGGGAATACAGCTTACTGATGCGATCAATCACTACAGTTAGTTTCCTTTTTGCTTGGAAGAGTCTTAGGAGTGGAATCAATTTCAATATATGAATTTTGAATTAATAGCCTTACTTTTCCGTTGCACTATTGCCATTTTGATATTTGGCAAATTGCCTTGTGTAGTATTCATTTATGAATTTAGGGACCGGATGGCTTTCACTTTGGCGTGCATATGCAGATATGAGAATTAAGTACCAGGATACTCTTGGAGATGGTGAAATAGGCTATAGATCGAAATATGATCCCTTCCTGTTGTGTATAATTGACGCTTAATTTCAGCCTCTTCTTTCGTCGTTTTGCCATGTGGATAACCAGTAAATACGCGAATTAAATAGGTGGCGTCAAGAGCAAGATTGAGGTAAGAGTGCACTGAAGGCAGATAGAAAAGTGGTCATGGACCAATTGAATCCAGCATCCTCTCGGCTTTGATAATTCCTTTTTGACGTTTCGCACCTAACAATGACGTCGCCACAAGGAAGCTGTGAAGTTCCGGGTGATATAAACGGCGGATGGGTGATCTAGCAGCATATAACTCTTTCCAGAGATGTGAAATCGGTTATAGATTTGCTAAGGCTTAAAATCGGTTATATAACTCTTAGCAGCATATAACTCTTTTTAGGTCTTGATTTCAACTTTACAGCACAATCGACGAAAATCATGATTCATTATACAATTTGCTCTCGTTTAATTGGACACTCCCTACCATGCTTCCGACATCCTTCCATGTGACACGGGCCGCCAATAGCAGTGCAACAACAAAACCTTAAATAGACCAAAAAAATAAAAAAATTCTATAGTGCTTCGCTGGTCTAAAATAGTGAAGCCCCGGACTAGCGACAATTCATAGAAATTCAAGGCAGAAACTCACCAGTTCCATTTTGCATAGAATTTTTTATCATTCCACATCAACATTTTTTTCAAAGGAACCTCCTTGACCACAACATTCCTTCTCTTCAGATGCAGATGCCTCGGCTTAATCCGCTTTTCCAAGCTGAAAGCGAAATACTGAGGAAACCCCTTTAATTCATCAAGACTCCTTTCCATCTCCCCGACTAAATACTCAAACTTGGGCAACAAATTGTTGTCGATGCTATAGCCAAATATGGCCGGTAGCCTCCCACAAAATTTAGTCGCCTCTTCTTGAGAGAACCCGATGTCCAGCAAAAACTTGGCCGTGTCTTCCAATCTCTTAACGCGGGTATTTAGAAGATGAGCATTTAAATTAGTGGGCTTGTTCAAACTTTCTACACCTATATCTCTAAGATACAAAAGGGTAGGCCTCAGACAAAACTGAACATTGGACTGAAGAATGTGAGGGCATAATAGAATCAGATCGCGGGATTCTTCCTCTGATGCAGCTAACTCAGTCGTTAAGAAATCAAAGACGGGCTGCAAATCAGCCGGGTTAACTTGAGGAGAAAATACCTGAGGAGTGAGATAAGCAAGTCTAGCAAAATGGGATTCGGAAAAGCCTTTAGATTTCAGGAAGTTTACAGTGGAGAGGATGTGGAGTAAGGTTTCTGGGGATGGGTTTCGGTGAATCTTCTTATCTGAATTGATGATGCCGATGGAATTGAGGTACCGTAGATTATCCCGATAAGATGTCCGAAACCTCAGGAAGTGGAAGGGAGGTTTTGAGGATGGGGATTGAGACCTACAATTTGGGCTTTTCTCTGAAGAGAAGGAGCGGATTGGCTGGGCAAGAGGAGCAGACTGCAGCATGTTTTGTTTCTCTCAAAACATCTGTGGCCGTTATCACAAAGAGGATGGAGTACTTTATCTTTTTTTTCTTTTTTCTTTTCTTTTTTCAGGCCACGAAGAACATATCATCCGTGGAAACCATAATTAGTGCGTCCTTAATGATACCGTTTGCCCCAAGTCCCAACACAAAAATTCAGTCACATGGAGAGTACGTTAGGTTGTATGACATGGAATTTTTTTAAAAAATAAAAATAAAAATTCAGTCACATGGACTGAAAACCAAAATGTACGTTTTATTCAGCAATCTACACAATTTACTCGACGATACTCGGTGATTTTCTTCATTGAGAGATGTGTGTACAAAATTTGGAGCGGATGTGTTCACCTCAATATTACGATTCCAATGAAACTGAACAAGAAAGTTGAGAATGCAAATACTGTTAAATTAGACTTAACTGTGAGGTGAGGTTTCCTCAATAGGGTATTATTTGGAATAATTACTGTAGCACTTTTTGTAATGTGATGTGTGTGAGATAAAAAGATAATTGAAAAGATAAAAAACTGTATTGAAAATTATAATGGTGATGTCAGCAAATATATTTAACCAAATAATCTACTGTCCAAACAAACCCCATGTTTTCTTAACCAACAGCTCTTGGAAGCAGCTGACAACTAAAAGAGTTTTAAAACCAAATCCCTTGATCTACATTTTAAATATTCAGATTTTTCTAGGAGTGTGTAGACATCCGTTTGAACCAGTAGTGATTCAACCCTTTCAAATTCTCCCATTAACCTCTTTGGATTCTCTTTCCCCAAATATAGAGTAAAAATAGATGTATAATAAAATTCATCTGTGTCCAGCAGCAAAAAAAAAAAACGTTTCTTTTGTTCTTCAACTCCCGCTATTTAATTTAATTTGTTAAAGCTAACATCGCTCTTTTTTACCGTGGCAACTTTAGCAAATTCTCCCCCTCAGACGATTGGATTGATTGATTACATGGTAAAGCAACTATCGTATGGTACTAACTTTCTTTTTTTAAACTCTTTTTTCCATTCTATTTGTATAGAATAGAATCCTTTTTTTTAAACTCCTTTTTTTTTACCTATTTTTTGAAACCATAACCTGCTGTAAGCATCACTAAAGCTGGCTTGTAGACTTTCAAATGCAGACACAGGTGAGACACTTAATGACAAAATAATCGGTGAATTCACAATTGGCCTTCATAAAAAAAAATATACATATATGTGTATTATTTCTGCAATACACAAGTCACAATGCACAAGGTTAAATGTAGGACAAAATTATAATCCCTGGCACACAGTAGCTTACTGGTGTACAAGAACCGTACACACGGACGGTGAATCAGGAGCCTATTCGTTAGGGAAATCAAAAGTTGAATCTTTAGATCACTTTTCTATGCCCTCCAAAAGCCCAGATCTGAAAGAAATAGGAGTGAAAGATAAGAATTGCAGTTGACCCTTGCACAAGTAAATAAAAAGAGCTGATTGTTGTGCTCACACACGCACACATACATGGACGCACACAGTGAGAGTATAGAAATTTTGTGCAAACATGCCAATCAATTCTCTAACCTTCAAGTTTGAATCCCAACTTCCTGTACATAAAGCACTGCCATCAGCTGACAATCCCAAACAACTAATGCGACCCTCATGAGAATTTTGAAGAGTTCCTAGATTCAAAACGACCTATCAAGACAGAGTACAAGGCAACTTCAAAAAGTCAGGCAATGAGCTGGGAGAACATAGAATTGGTACTTAAAATCATGGATGAGCATCAAATTGCAAAATTTGCTAGATTATTTCAAAAGAATGTCATGAAATAGCTCGTTTACTTCTCAAAGATTGGTTTTTTTTTTTTTAATTTTAGCCTCAGTACAGAATGTGAGGTGTTCACTTGGGAGTTGGGACCAAAACGGACCTTTTCTTGAACTCATTTTTAACCTCACGAGTTCGGATTTTTAAGCAACTGCAGGTATATCCTTCCTACACACCACCTCACAATTCAAAACAATAATGTTACTGCACGTATAAATTTGTCATGCAATAGCATTAAAAAAATAGAGAAAGGGTAAGAAGGAGAAAACACGCTATACTGGGTTAATGGGAGAAAGGAAGAAAAATATCAAAGTGGAACTGATTAATATTTGAAACGGGTTAAAATTGATTAGTGAAAGTTTCAGCCCAAAAAATTGGACAATTTTGAAACGGATGCATGCTAATTAGTAAAAAAGGTAAAAGTACCAAGTACCTGTCCCAATAAGGTATCCCATACATAGCAATCACCATTTGAATACCCAGCAAAAAGAAGTCTGCCAGAAATTGAAAATGCAATTGAAGTAACAGGCGGCACCTCATTATCCCCATGTTGCTGATAGTACACTTGCAGCTGATGCCCAGTCCTAATATCGAATAATCTGCAAGTTCCATCATCCGAACCAGTTCCAAATCTATTTCCATCTGGGAAAAATTTTACAGCATTAACATCTCCTTCATGACCATGAAAGGTCCGGACAGCCCGACTGGCAACCCGAGTGTCCCAAAGACGGGCAGTTGAATCACAAGACCCAGACACAAACATTCTTGAATTTGATCCATTAATGGAGACACTAAAAAAAAAAGAGAGCAAGAATGGTTCCAAGACAATGCGTTATTGCTACATCAAATGCTTCATGCAGAAGAAGATAATAAGATACAGAAAACATAATTAACGTCTGAATATACCTTAGCACATCAGCAGTGTGACCAGATTGAAATTCACCTCCAAAGACAGATGTCCTAAGACCTGTAGTTATATCCCACAAGCCACATGTTTGATCTCCAGAGCTAGTGATTAAGTGTGCATCTTCATCAGGAACATACTGACATGATGACACATAGCCCTTATGCCCACTAAGCATTTTCGACACTGGTAGATTACCATCTCTGTCAGTTGGAGAATTTAGGTTAAAGATGGAGCAAACGCTGTCGAGTCCACCACAGGCAACAGACTGCCCAGTCGGTGAGAAGGCACAAGTCATGACCCATGCACAGGGTAGCTTAATAGCATGTGTCTTTTGGCTTGTGAGAGCGTTCCATACTATTAATCGACCATCCTGGGATGCACTGACAATGCGATTCTTTTCTGGAGTCCAGTCAAGCGAATACACCTGAAACATGTTTATATAGTATAATTAATCACAAATGAAACAGCAAGTGAAACTTGAAATACTAGTGTCACTTCAATTACATAAATTTCATCTAAATCATGTTTATGTCAGTCATCACAGAGACAATAGAAAATGAAACTTGAAATACCAGTGTCACACCAATGCAAAATTTTCATCTAAATCCAAATTAAGTCAGCATGTTCAAAGGCACCATGCTTCCCAAGCAGCAAAAGTTCTGTTTTGTTTGCTTAGTTTCTCTATGAATTCTCAGCTACCAGTTACTATTCTCAAATTGATCATTGGACTTGAAATCGAAGAGGAAGGTTAAACCCCTTCGCCCCGGGGGGGGGGGGGCGGGTGTTTGTGGCTTGAAAGCCAAATGACTCTAAGAGTTACACCTGCCAAGGTACATTTAGCTCTCTTTTCAATTCCATTATTGTAACATAAGCAAGGAATGTAAGAAATGTAATTAAAATTCACTGAACAGCATAAGAAAAGGAGAACCAAATGATTTTGTCTCTAATCGTATCAAAATCAGGCAATTGCAGCATCATATGGTATTAGAAGAATCAAAATCAGCTTTCTGATGAAAATAGTTAGCCAAATTACAGTTTCCCAGCGGCCTGCCCAGCCGAATTCCAGATTTAGAACTTAATCCGAAAAGCTTGCTAACTGTTTGGAGCCTTTATGAGGCACCGTAATGAATAGCAATCAGTCGAATGTATGTCAAATTCCTAGGTTGAAGAATAAAATAACATATTATGTATATCACAAGGCCAAGGATAGATAATCAAGTAAAGTGAATCCAGCGAAATGAAAAGGTGACAAGAGGAAACGAGAATGACAAGTGAAAAACCTTGCCGTTATGGCCCTGCAGAGTCCGACAGCAAACCAGATCCGTTGGGCCGAAGCTCACCGGAGTTCTACCCTGCGACCTAGAGTATCCCGCCACTGCAACAGCCATAATTAATAGTAATTAATATAATTCCACACAAAAATTTAGCATCTTCCAGATCTAAGACATATACCTTGATAAACACCACAATTCAAACAAGTAAATATATAGCAAAAAAAAAAAACAAAAGAATGAAGGCGAACCAACCGTCGGTGTCAAGAAGGAGAAGACGCTTCTGTTTCAATTGGTCCCTGAGTGCACTGACAGTCTGGGTGGCGGCTAAGTGCCTCTCCTTCAGCTCGGCAACTGACATTTTTCCCTCCCCTTTTCCTCCCCAAACTCGACACAAATTCAAGTCCTCTGGACTCCTCCTACATCTTCCATAGCCTAATTCTCTTGGGTCAAGTGGGCTTCATTCTAAGGTTGCTACACGTATATAATCAGGACAAATCAAGAAAACTCTTCCTTAAATTTGGTCTTCTGGGTAATTACTAATAAAAATTAAGGGTTTTAGGAGCTAAAGAATTTTGATAATACAGGAGTAGGAGAGATATAGCGGCGGAGACGCACGGAGTAGAGACAGCCACGGCCGACTGTTACCGGTTACGGGTGACAGCTGAAACGGAGACTCCGGGTTAGAGACCCAAATGCCAAATTTTTTTGAGACTAATAGTGCCAAAGAGTGGGGCTTTTGTAGTAGTGGGGTATTCACTATTCAGATCACCAGTCACCGGTTCAGGGCTAGCCGTTGTTCAGATGTTAGGCCCACCCGTTTATGCTTTCTTTTCGAGTAATAAAATAATAGTACTAACAATCAGTGAAAAGTCAGAGGTGTGATGGTGGAACTGGAGGTACTGGTGGTTGGGGGGGCCATTGGCCTGAAGCCGCGGGGTCCGCATCTGCCGACGTGGCGGTAGCCTGTCCCTACCACGTAGACATAGGTACTGGGATGATGATCCATCCCACCCACCCAGCCACAGTGGCTTGGCCGTCTGTTTCCTTGATAAGGGCTTGGGTGCGTCGCAGTCGTACATTCACACCTCTCACACTCGGAAATAGTAGTGAGTTTCTGAGTTCTGACACCATTCTACCACTTTCCACATTTGAGAGAGACTTGAGAGTTGAGACTTTAGAGCAAAAATCACACGTAGTTTATTTACACACGACCACTTCACGGCCATTGAATCTGTTTGGGTAATTTAATTATTTATAAAAATTTATTGGGAAAATCGTTCAAAACGTCCCTCACATTTTACATGATGACTTTTTTCGTCCCTCACTTTTAAAAATGTAATTTTACATCCCTTGTGATTATTTTACAATTTGAAAATGCCAATCACTTATTTCTTTTTGTCATAATTTTCTTTTATTTATTTTTTTGTCCAAATTTAATTCGATATAAACACTTGATAATATTTAGGATTAAATATTTTCTTTATTTTCAAATTTCGAGTAAAAAAAATGAATATAAGTGAAAAACTAACAATTTTTTTAACCCATTTATATATCTATTTGATTTCACTAGAGCAGTATGAATAGTATGTAATATATCTCTATTTGATTTCACATGCTATTCATACTGTTCACGTAAAATCAAATAGATATATACATAGATTTAAAAAAAATTATTCACACACATGATCAATTAAAAGATGAAAAAATTCATTTTGAAAAATGTGAAGGATGAAAAAATTTATTTTGTGATATGTAAGGGAAGAAAAAATTTATTTTATGAAATGTGAAGGATTATGAATCGAATTATATAAAATTTAATTTGACAATTTTACCCTTAAAATATGATCACGTGCAAGACACGTGGTGAATTCCGACCAAAAACTAGTCGAAAATCTAAGTAGGGATCAAATTTGACCAATATGAATTTGTAAGGGATGTAAAATTACATTTTTAAAAGTGAGAGATGAAAAAAGTTATTTTGCAAAATGTGAGGGACGTTTTGAACGATTTTCCCAAATTTATTTAACTGTATCATAAATATATTTTTTTAATAAATTTTTATTTTTAATTATTTTTTTATTTCACATGCATTACATTAGAAAAAATACTATAATATTTTTTCAAAAATTTCTTTCAAATAATCTCCCATCCAAAAACATTTATTATTATTCTTTATGAATATATAATATATGGAACTTGTTTATATTAGTAGAAATAGTAACGGGGCAAGGGCGGGCATGGGGGAAGGCGAGGGACCTTTCCCCCGCCCGTTGCCCAAACATTCCCCGCCACCATTTCGTCGTCCATCGCTCGTTCCTGCTCCATCCCACTTCTCTCACATGTACTTGCGGGGCTAATAGAAAAAAAAATTTATATGAAAAAAGAGTAATTTCATCAATTTGAAATAATATCTGCAGTAAGTGTTATAATAATAAAATCTAGAGGAAAGTTCCTCCATAAACAATCATCAGAAATGGAACAAGCATATTTAGCAAAAACAATAAAGCAACATTAATTGTTCTAGGCACCCATGATGCTTCTCGGGTTGCAAAACTTTGTATGTCTACAAGAATATCGTTCACAAGCATTCCACGAGTTGATGCATTTGAGTCCATACTTTCAATCGTTTTAATGATTTTCTGATAAACTCTCATGAAGCATAGTAGTGTTCTATGTTCAAGATTAGACACTCTAATTGGAATAAATTCAACTAGAATGGGTTAAGATTTCGCGTTGTCGTGCTCTCCGCATTTGTTGACCCCAAAAAAAAAAAAAAACTCTCCGCATTTGGTCATTAATGCTGGAATTGATTGAAAAAGAAAGGGTACCCAACCCAAACAAAAACCTTAGGAGAATGAGATGACTCCCGAGTCCCTCCACAATCAGACCAATCGATGGACTCAGGTTAATCCACAAGTCTGTTTGGATTGTGAATTATTAGAGATATTTTTACTGTAACACTTTTTGTGATGTGATGTATGTGAGATAAAAAGGTAATTGGGAAGGTAAAAAGGTGTATTGGAAATTGTAATGATGATGTAAGCAAATAAATTTGGGGAAATAAAATCCAATCCAAACAAACATTCCATACAATACCTCAAGTTGTGGCTTATTAAGGGGAAAAAACACTTAGACTAGCAAAATGTATGGTCAAGAAAAAAATATAAAACACATTACGACTAAGCGAATTAAATGATACAGAAAAAAGAGGAAAATGCCCAAGGAATCATACCCACCAAACGCGTTGAATTGAAATTGTTTTTATCCTTTAAAAACACTGGCCCCTATGGGGGTCGCTTCCTCCTCTCAACCACTGGATCACCAACACATAACAACCATATTTAAAGGCACATGGTGTTATGCTCAAAATTTTCTCATCATGTTACGTCACTTGGACGAGGTAGGAGTATGATGCGATAATCGTCCAAAGACGAAATAGAAACATCAAATAATAGATCCCAAAGTTTTCCTCTTAATGGGTGTTTTTTTTCCCTCTTAATGGTAGGTACGTATTAGTTTTCTCAGGGAGATACAGAGGAAAAAAAAAACAATCAATTTACAATCTACTCAAATATTGCCACGTGGCATCAACTTATATCTTTAATTGTTTTTTAGTCTAATTTGCCAGTTGGGCTTAAGCAAACAACTGTCGGGAAGCGAATTCATACAGTAATTGTTTAAGCTTTTAGAGCACCTTAAACATTACAAATAAATGTGAATAATCTCGGTTTCAAGAGTGATTTATTTAATGCTGATCGCATATAGAAGAAAATGAGACCAACTAAACTTTTTGAAAATTAGGCCGCATACAATTCACAAGCATTTCTGAATCTTAAACGTTTTAATATTTCCATTTGACCTCTTGCAGACTTGTAGTACTAATGTGTTTCTTAATTGATTTTCCCTTTTTTTTTTTGGGGGGGGGGGGGGGGGGCTTTGTTTGGAAGGGAGCGGGGGCGCCAAGGTAGGTTGACTGGGGTGAGCGGAGGAGAAAACAAGCCACAGAAATGAAAGCCAAATAAAATAGAACAGACAAAAAGGCTTATTTTCTGCCCTGCCCTTTCCTTCAATAGAATGAAATTCACAACTTGACGATTGTTTAGCTATATATCATGAAATGATTACTTCTGCTGGCCAATGACACTCAAGCTTATTATTACCTCAGCTATCCAAATAATATCCCCTTTCTCTTCATGTATTGCCACCAGGATAACTGCACTGACCATAGCCTGCAAGAGCGGAAAATTTCGGAGCGCAAGAAACGAGAAAATTGTTACCATCAATATTTGCCTAGGAGGTAAAAGGAAAAGACAGTCCGATGCAATGCTCGTGTAAATTTTGACCGTCGAATAATGCTGAATGGAATTCTAGTAACACTAGTGCGGAAAAATATTCTGCCACCTGTTGCACTCACAGAACTGGCAGGGCATATACAACGCAAATTTATCCCACAACCCCTCCCCCTCCCCCCCCCCCCCCCCCCCCCAAAACACAAAAACCAATCCCATTCACAAGGTAAAGATACCACATTGACAAAAAAACCGGTTCTTATGTATTGACATGAAACCGAACAAGTTTAACCTGAAGAAATGAATGGTCTTACTTGGATTAGTATAAGTAAGAGTGGCGGTCTGCAGGAAATCGCAGTTCCAAGGATTCCTGCCAGCAGTTTGATAGAGGAGATTCATTGCATAGGCAGCATGTGCTGCCACAGTATTTGGGTCAAAACATGTTCCACCAGTTTGAATTGGACTACAATCAATACCTTGGGCACAGGCATAGTCAAGATTTGACTGCAATTGAGCATCAGAAACACCCGGTTTGGGCACACACCAACCAGCTGCTGGCTTTGGTACTGGTGTAACTGGGGTTATGGGAGTTGTGGGACTCACAGGGGCAGGAGTTGCCGGAGTTGCTGGAGTTGTAGGAGTCTGGGAGGAAGATTGGCCACGATGTTATTAGTTAGCAAATGCAACCCAGATCGTAACATGAGCTATAAATTCCAACATAACTTTGATGAAGTTCAAGGTATTCCCTGGTTGCAAATATCTATCTATTTACTAGAAAGATTTATGAAAATCAAACCAATTTCTCTTAAGCGTTGCTGCTATATTCAGGCGAGACCACATCAGCGGTTACCGAACTTATGTTGATGTATGAAAACTACCAGCAATGCACGTGCTAAGACTGGACTATCAGCTGATTCCGTTAAACTATTTAAGGCTCTCTAAACATTTTGAGGAATTTACTTGTGAATTAAATTACTACAGGTCCTGCATCGATCGATGGTGATTACCTGACTGTTCTTTGAAAGATCAACATCATAAGTCACAGAGAGATCAGGCTTGAAGAGCCCAAATGACCGTTCTGAGCTTGGCCCGGGTTTCAAATCCTCATCAAAGAGGGCAAATATATAGGTGTCAACAGACTTTCCAGGCATCAGGGGAGTGCCAACCAATGATCTGAGGTGGCTTATCAAGTTCCCGTTGAAGGCTTTTGCATTGTCCAGACTTGGGCCAACTTCAGTGGGATCTCCCTTGTATGGCCACCCTGTCTCTGCAACCACAATCTCGACATCCTTGAATCCCAATGCATTGAGGGCAGAATGTACTGCATCCACCTACATTAGTGCACACGGAAGGTAAATTTTGTTAACCCCTCGAAGCACTTGGGAAGGTAAGTTGGTTAGTGAGAATAATTATAATCCCCGTTGGCGGTCCTTGTTATCTACAATGAAATAATTTTTTTTTTTAAAAAAAAGCATAAATTGTGATGAAATATCAGGTCCACAACTAGTGGTCCCTTGTTCAA